CCCCCCATACGCTCCGTTCCCCGTCCCAGCCGCCATGAACCCGCTCTTCGGCCCCAACCTCTTCCTCCTGCCGCAGGAGCAGCAGGGGCTCCCCGGCCCGGAGCTCTCCTCGCCGCCGCCGGCCCCTCGGCCCGCCGAGCCCCTCGGGGGGGAGCTGGCCGCTTCGCCCCCCGCCGGTCCTTTCCCCGCTCCCCCCGCCGCCATGGCCCTCCGCAACGACCTGGGCTCCAACATCAGCGTCCTGAAGACGCTCAACCTGCGGTTCCGCTGTTTCCTGGCCAAGGTCCACGAACTGGAGCGGCGGAACCGGCAGCTGGAGAAGCAGCTGCAGCAGGCGCTGGAGGAAGGGGGGACCCGGGGCCGCGGACCCCCCCGCCGCGACCAGGCGGTGCAGACCGGTTTCGTCGGTCCCATCCGGAGCCTGGGCTTGGGGCTGGGGCTGGGCTTGGGGCTGAGCCCGGCCCGGGCGCTGGGTTCTCCCGGTTGCCGCCCCGCCCCCCCCGGCCAGCCGCCTCCCCCCTTCCCCGCCGCCTCCCGCTTCGTGCCCGGCACCATCTGGTCCTTCTCGCAAGCCCGACGCTTGGGGCCGGGGCCGGAGACCACCCTGGTGCAAGGACCGGGGGTCTCCTGGGTCCACCCGGACGGGGTGGGCGTCCAGATCGACACCATCACCCCGGAGATCCGGGCCCTCTACAACGTCTTGGCCAAGGTGAAGAGGGAGCGCGACGAGTACAAGCGCAGGTGAGAAGGGGACGGCGGGACCGAGGGACCCCCCCGGGGGTCCGCAGCCAGCACCCGGGGCTTCACCCGGTGAGGGCACAAGCGGGGAGAGGCAGCCCCGGCCTGACTTCCCCGGGAGCTTGGGCTCCGGACGGCGCGAGGTGAGGTCGTAAGGCAAAAACGCGGACCCCCCGCAAGCGTTCGCCGACGCCTGGGTCTCCTCGCTTGCCTCGCGGTGTTCGGACACCCTCGGGATGCTCGCGGCACCTTTTTCCGTCTTGTCAACCCGGCGCGAGGGGCTAGGAACGCTTCTGCGAAGCTGGGGGAGAAAATAACGTGACTCCGGGAGCTGGCGTTTTAAAGGGGAGGGGATCTGGAAACGCACAGGGAAGGAGGAGCAGCCAGAAAGTAGGTGAGGAAGGTGAAGGTGTTTGGGTTGGAAAAGGCTGCCGGGAGGAGGAGGAGGAGGAGGCCGCTCGGGATACATAGGAAGGTGCGGAGAGAGAAGCCCCTCGGCAGGGCGGCTGGCCCCCCCCGGGCCCTTTCCCTCCCCAGTGCTCTCCCAGCCGGCGCCTCAGTGGCAGAGAGCCGTGCGGGAGCACCCCGCTCCTCCGGGGCTTTCCTCCCGACCCAAAATAGCTGCGGCCTGGCATGCGCCTCGGAGAAGGGCGAAGCAGAATGCGAAGCTAATCTCTTGGCCGGTTCTTCTTTCCCGTGCGGGGCGGCCGCCGCTCTCGCGTCACACTGGTGGCGCTTTTGTTTCGGGCCAGTTTCCGAGGCTGCTCCCAGATCCGCACGTAGGATGAGATCAGGCAGGCGGCTGGCATCGCTGGGTCAGGGCGCAGGGCCGGCCGAGACCATCGCTGGCGACTGACACGTTTGTTTTTTGGGAGAAAAGTCACTTTCGGATGCTTTAGAAGCAATCGGAAAGTAACCGGTTACGTACCCAAAGGAGCGAAACGGTGCGCTCTGCCCACGGGAGCCGCGCCGCCGACCTGCGCTTCACAGCCGCGGGCTCTGCCGCCAAGATCAAGGCTGGGGATCCGAGATGACACCTTATGTTTTTGGCTTTATAAGGCTTTGGCCAACAGGGAAAGGAAGAGGTGGCATCTCTTCTTTCCTACCTGAGGCCTTTTATTATTAAGCCAGGGGCTGGGCTCCTTCTCCAGGGGTGGGCAGCTCGCCTTGCGTTTTCAGGTCAGACAGTGGGGAGCTGGAACCACCTTTTTGGCCCGGAGGGCTCGAGCCTCACCCCCTCAAAATGGGTCATCCAGAGGGGACCGAGTTGGGTTTGTCGGTGCTGTTGAAACTTTGGGAGAAAGGAGAGCTTTCCGGGGCTGTCCCGCTCTGGCAAGCGGGCTCTGGGGGGGGGCAGCGACGGAGGGAGCGGGGAGGCCGGGGGCAGGCAGGGGGGCATCACGAGCCGCTGCGGGCCAATGTTGTTGGTGGGGTCTATTTTTGGACTGTGTTACCAGGAGCTGGGGGAAAGCAGACCCCACCCCTAGACCCTTTCCAGCACCAGGGAATTTTCTGACGGGTGCAGCCAGGTCCCAAACAGGGGAATGGGACAGGAGGATCCCGTTTCCGCACCCTTCCCCATGCTGAGGGCTGACATCCCCCGGGAGCAGAGACCTCCCTGCCGTGGCGGGCTCTCATCTGCCGTGGGGACAGCGCGGCCGGCGTCGTCCCTTTGCCACCTGCCTGGGGACAGAGGGAAGAGACCGTCTGAAAGCGGGAATTCCCGGTTCTCTGACCCACGGCGCGGGTGCTTGAGCTTGCGTTTTCTTCAGGGCAGCGTTGCCGCCGTGCACCCCGCAGCACTCGGAACGGTGCAACAGCAGGAGGAGCTTCTCTCTGGACGTGCAGGGCCTGAAATTCAAGTCTGGGATCTAGGAAGGGTGCGGGGGCAATTAGGGAGGGATGAGAAGAGATGCAGCAGCGGGAGAGAGGCTCGCAGGAGCCGCGCTTGGGACGGGCAGGCTGAGGCTAGGTGGGCTGGAGAGGGGCAGAGCGTGCCTGTGAGTATCCTACAGACCCGGCAAGAGCTGGGGATCTGCGGGTCTCCTCAGGTTTGTGCTGTCTGCTACGCCTGTGTTCCCAAGTGGTTTTTATCTTGGATGCTGCGAGGACATGCTGGAGGTGTGGGGTGAGTAGTGTGATGGCACAGTGTGTTAGAGTCACAGGATGGTTTGGGTTGGAAGGGACCTTTAAGGATCATCTAGTCCGACCCCTCTGCCGTAGGGTTCCACTAGACCAGGTTGCTCAAAGCCCCGTCCAACCTGACCTTGAACGCATCCAGTGATGGGGCATCCACAGCTTCTCTGGGCAACCTGCTCCAGTACCTCACCGCCCTCATCATAAAAAAATTCTTCCTTGTGTCCAGTCTAAACCTACCCTCTTTCAGTTTAAAACAAGTCGCCCCTCATCCTGTCGCTACAGGCACTGGTAAAAAGTCTCTCTCCGTCTTTCTTATAAGCCCCCTTTACATATTGAAAGGCCACGAGAAGGTCTGTTGTTGTTGTAACTGCCCCCCAAGGAGGTGCGCCAGGCTGCAGAGCATTCCCTGTGTTATGAATGTGTTAACGAAGTGAAGCTCAAACATAGTTCGAACGTGGCAAGAGAGGGAAACGTGCAGCCTCAAGCCCCGAGCAGCCCGCAGGGTGCCCCGCAGCACTGGCGTGCGTTAACTGTGCACCATCGGGTAAGGCACCCAGCGCCTTTTGCAGTGAACGGGATTTTTAAAGATGGGTGGGTGGGTGTATGTTTATTTCGCTAAGTGAACTTCTCGAGGGGACGCACCTGGGGAGGTGGGGGGGGGCCGTAGGGACAGCACCGCATCTTGTCACGTCCCCAGCTTTGGGACGACTGGCACGTAGCCGGCAAGGAGACGGCCGGGTCCGTCTGCTGCTGGGACCCTTCTGTATTTCAGCCCTTTGGGCAGGTCGCCACCTTGGCTGCGGCACCAGGGGAAAAAAAAAAATGCCCGTCTCCCCTTGGCGTGCGCCGGTGGCCGTGGGGTTGCCGTGGGTCAGCCTTGCTTCCAGCCGGCAGCGAGCTGGCAGCGGCCGCCGGGCGCGCTGGGCTGCGGGTGCAGCGCTGCAGGCAGGTTATTATTAGGAGTGGTGCATTGCAGGAGAATAAGAAGGAGCCAGGCAGGAGGTGAGCGGGAGAGAGGTTCGTAACGGGTGGGCGTGCAGATCCGCCGCTGGAGGGGCGAATCCCCGTTGCCGCCCGCCTTTAAAGCGGTGTTTATCTCTGATCGGCGCTCGTCTTCCGTAGCGCTGGTGTGAAATGAATTCTTCCAGGGATTTGCAGCTATGCTTTACTTTCCCCAGTAAGTCCGGGCTATATAGAGACCCGGAAGGAGGCGGGGACCGAAAAAGAGAGGAAGCGCCACGCCGAGAAAGATGCTGAAAATTTTTTCTTTTGGTGGAAAGCGTTTTTTTCTCCCTGGGGAGGGAGGCCTTGTTTGAACGGTTCCCATATAAGGGCAATTCTACCTTTTAACTTTCTCCTTCCCTCTCTCTTTGTCTCCCTCTTCCCCCAAAGGGATGGGAACCCCCCGTGACTCCCCTTCTGTAGCTGCGGTGTGGAGCCAACACCAACGCGAGGACTGCAGGCTTTGTCCTTGTTTGAGTGAGGAGCAGCGTTGCCAGCCTTAAGAGCTTAGAAATTCATAAGGCAGGACTCTCCCACGTCGTCAGATTGTCCCGATGCCCCGAGATAAAAAGTGTGAGGGCTTTTCATACCCTTTCTGGTCTCCTAGACCCTTGCGTTTATTTTTCAAACTTGGCGCAAGTAAGCGAGAGGAGAGATTTTTCCCGTCCTCGTGCAGGGTCGCAGTGCTCGTGTCTGTGCTTGCAAGCATTAAATAGAAACCGGAGACCATAGCACCAGGCAGGGCCCAGCTCTGGTTGCTTTCCCAGAGAAATCCCGCTTTCTCGGAGAAATGTGGCTCTCCCAGAGGAGCCAGAAGCCGGGTAAGAATGCAGCAGCCCTGCCCCGTGCCGCACCGCGGCGCGTGCCAACCTGTCCGCTCTATGGGATAGTCATTTAGCAAAGAGCAGTACAGCCTGGTGGCCTCCCAACAGACCGTGGACTGGGCCAACACCGCAGCGTGGCCCAAAATGATGATCTCATGCAGCGAAATATAATATAATAATTGCTAGGCGATGTGTCTTTGTATAGGAAGGCCGGGCACCTTGCAGCTCAGCCTTTTGCAAAGCTGCAGAGCCTAATACAGTACCCGCCGGCCAACTTGGCGTGAATTGCGATCATCCATCCTGCTTCCTTGTAGGATGTAACAACGTTCTTTAATCCAACCTGTTACGCAGCAGTACAGCCGAGGAGATTTGTGCCCCTGCCCGGGTAGGGTGGCCTGGCGCAGGGCATCCCTCCGCATCGGTGCAGCCTGAACCGCAACGCTGCAGGCGCGCCAACGCGGTCACGAATGCGATGCAGGTGGCAGCAACCCTGCGATATCCACAAGCCCGTTCCTGAGCGTCGGAGCTGAACCTAACGTGACCCAAGGCTGAAAGCTCGGGGGGTGGACGGAGAGGCCGGTGGGCTGCATGGAGCCTGTGGTTGGTGTCCCCAGTTCCCCCTGTCATGGAGCGGGCCAGCCTGCGGCGGAGAGAGCGGAGAACGCGGCGCGGCAGGGTTTGTGGCCGGGGTGGGGGGCCGACGGGCATTTGGCAGCTGCCGTCGGTCTGGAAACAAGCGGGGATGCATTCCTGGGCACGTTTTCCTTCCCGCCCCGGTGCCGTCATCACCCCCTCTCGGATAGCTTTGGGGCGAGCAGCTGCCGCTCCCTCCATTCTCTTTGGCAGCCGGGGATGCCAGCGGGGGCTTGCC